GACGTCGTTCTTAGAGTCGTCTCTCCACAGGATTCGCTGCAGGTTTCGATCGTCCGGATGCACTAGGATCTGCCGATACATCTTTTCGATATCGGCAGCGAAGACGTATCTGTGGCGTCGCCAACGCAGCAGGATGTCAGCCAGCGCAGGAAGCAGATTCGGTCCAGTCAGAAGATATTGGTTGAGAGAGTCCCCGTTCGGCAAGAGCTCGAGCCGTTGAACACGACCCTCAGCTTAGTGGAAGTGCTGTCCGGACGCAGGACCCCGTGATGCGGCAGGTAACAGGTACCTCGTTGTGGCTCAGCTGGCGCTGGTGCAAGCATCATATGTCGCAGTTCCTTGTACTTTTGCATGAACTCTACGTACATGTCCTTAAAGTCGGCATCTTTCTCTAACCTTTTCTCCGTCTGTTGCAGAGCACGACTGGCGGCGCGACGAGTCCCAGACAGATCCGGGAGAGGCTCGATCGTTGGCAGCCGCACTATGTACCTGCCGTCAGGAGAGCGCGAGTGATGACGGCGGTAGTGCTCCTCGCACTCTAGTTCCGCCTTGGTGAGGGTCGGAGATGGCCGGTGGACTTCCTCCTGCTCCCAGAACCGCCGCACCAAGCAGGTGATGTCCTTCTCGATTGGCAGTGATGAGCGGAGATGTGTTGGCTGGGCGCCGTCGAGCTAACGGTACCTGAGAGAATCCAGCCCAACGAGGTTTGTTGAGCTACTGGATCCTTAGGACCTCCTTTTCGTAGGCCCTGACGGATGATGGTCCCATATACGTCGGCTCCCAGTAGGATGTCGACGGGGTCCGAGGAGCAGAATTCCGGATCGGCGAGCTCCAGGTCCTCCAGATGGGTCCAGGTTCGTCTACTGCTGCGGCATCCTCCGGAAAACAGCGTCAACTTAGGCAGCACCAAAGCGTTGACGAAGGTGGGCGATTCCCCTCTGCGCGACTGCAGGGTAAGTCTCACCTTCCCCTTTGTCACTCCGGTCCTTTTCTCTCCGACTCCATAGACACTAACGGCGGCTGCTCTTCTAGGGAGTCGTAAGCGCTGCGCTAATCGCTCCGAAATGATGGAGGATTCGGAGCCCTGGTCGATCAGAGCGCGAGCGGACTTCCAGCTTCCGTGGCAGTCGAGGACGCGGACCCTAGCTGTAGCGAGCAGCACCGTTGCGGAGGAAGAGTCTGCGCCTTGAGCCACGTGAGACGTCGTGGCGGCCTCGGCTTCCCGGAATGCATCGTGAAGCGAGGAGTGATGTCGACTGCCGCACGCTGTACACGTCTTCTTCGAAGAGCACTCGGAAGATTGATGCCGGCCAAGGCAGTTTGAGCAGAGCTTATGCTCACGGACGAGCTGCTTACGCGCCATCGCCGTCTTATCCTTATAGTCGCCGCAGAACATAACAAAGTGGTCCCCCTGGCAGATGGAGCACCGGCTTCTGGACTTCTCTTTTGGATCTTGGCCTTTGACGTGGTGGCTCCTCGTTGATTTTGCAGTGCTGGAGCTGCTGCTGTCGTTCCTGGCCGGAAACAGCGCCTCCAACGTATGGAGCCGACGTTCTATGAAGGCCTCAAGCGAGGCGTAGCTTGGCGGACTCGTGGGTCGACTTATATCACTCTCCCATTCTCGCCTAGAGCGGCTGTCGAGGAGCTCTACGACGAGGTGGACGAAGAGATCCTCCGTGCGGTCTATCGGTCGGTCTATGCTCTTCAGGGAGCTGACAGTTGTTTTTACTCCATGGAAAAGCTTCCTCAATTCAGCGGCGGATTCGCTTTTCATCTTGGTCAACGCTAAGAAATTATTCAGATAATTACGAGTCAGCAATCTTTTGTTCTCGTAATAATCGCTTAGAGTTTTCCAGGCGATTTCATAGTTGTCTTTTGTGGTGCTGAGGTTACGAATCAGCAGATCGGCGTCACCCTTCACACAAAGTTTTAAGTAGTGTAACTTCTCCACAGGTTTTGCTGCCTGATTCCGGCCGATGAGGGATTGGAACAGATCCCGGAATGAAGGCCAATCCTCGTATTTCCCGGCGAAGGTAGGCGGTTGGATTTTTGGCAGCGCTGTCCGAGGAGCGGGACTAGTTGTCGCGGCCGCGGTAGAGCTGGCAGCCTGTAGCTGCAGCTGGAGAGCGCTCTTCAGATCGAGCATGAGGCCCTTGTTCAGCAGGTAAGCTTCCTCGCCTAAGGACGGGATGTCCTGTTTAGCGTAGACCTCATGCTTTATTTCGTCAACCCGATCGGCTAACGTATCATTAAGAGCGTCGAATTTATCCCATAGCTTCTCGAGATTTTGAAGCCGGGCCTCCACCGCGCCGAGGGTCATATTGGCCTCGCCGAGCTTCCGCAGGTTCTCGAACGCGCGCGAGATCTTGCCGTACAGCACCGTGGTGGTGGCAATGATCGCCTTCGTGTCTGTCATTTCTAACAATGTTTCTCTGTTCCAGAAGCACTGGTCACCGACAATCAATCACAATCGCTTCCGTGGCAACGGATTCACAGGAGGTTCCTGAGGAATCCGGCTCGAAGGACCAAAAATGTGCGCGACGGAAAGATGGATAGGACGTGGTCGGAAGCGAGACTGAAAAATAGACACAACACTCGACACACGCGTAACGTTCACAAAAAAGAATATATTTATATAAACTTTTAACAAAAATTACAATTAATATACCGCACCGAATTTGCCGAAAGATAGCCGAGTCGAATGTATTAGAAATGAATGCAATAAACGAGAGAAAAGCCGGGTCGAAAATAAATTACTGACTGTTCCGCAAGCAACGGTAATTAGACGAGAAAACCGAAAAAGACAAGCGATCTTTTTCGGAAAGTAGAAGCACACTCTATTCGCGACGAGCAATCGGAAAGAGACCCGCGGTCGCGAGAGAGGAGGCTTATATAGGCCTTGTAATTCTAGAATATTCGAGTACATTTGCTGTCGTTCTATTGTGATATTAAGGGCGAAGGAACGTTTACTGTAATTATTTACTTGTTTTTCTCTCCTCTCGCGCGACAGCGGTGTTTACAATTTAGACTGTTTTAAGCGCTTATTTTCGAAGGCGCGGAGTATCCGTATACTTTCGCGGCCGAGCGCTATTTTAAATATAATTTAAAATAAGCATGTGAGACCACGATATTAATTAATAAATTATATGCATGCTGCATGAGGCATGATCGAGATGCATGAATATTTTAACGCTTTCTTGTCCGCGGGTTATTACCGTTCGAATCTCGAACACTTTTTAAAGTATGTTTTCTTAAACGTATTGTTGATCATTATTTTATTGCTACAGTTTTACATTTTGCTATTTTACTATTTAATTTAGAATTGTGAAGAAAGAAGATGTGTAGCGGGAGGCATACTAATGAATTTTATTTGCGATGCCATTAGGCAAATGCTGGAAGCGTTCTATGCACATAATCAATACTGGCATTACTTAGTAAAAAGTTTACATATATACAAGAAAGAATATAACTACTTTACTGATTGTATGTATATTTTTTAAATAGGTTTCTTTGAATCGAGTTTTGTTTTACAAATATATTGCACACATTATATTTTTTTACATACATTTACAATTCTCTCCGCATTATGTTCAAATGTGAATTTCTCATTACTTTTTAGCATTAATATTTTATTGACCATAGGTTTTCAGATAATTTTTCTATCTTTTTAGTGCTTTTAATGGCCTTAAGTTACAACTTACCAAGCGACTCTACAGACATTATTCCATTGAATCTGGACACTAACCAGTTTCTTTCGTTTTACTTCAATATATGCATAATTTTTTTAGCTGGCTTGCTTGAATATTTATTTCTCGCGTCGTAATTTTTGAAAACTATAAGTAACATAGAATTTTATTTTTAAAATTATTTTGTATATATTTATGCAAATAACGTGCAATTTTTAAAATTAATGCTTGTTCCGGAACCGTTGAAAATAATTGAGAGTCTCCGCGAAAAGTTAAATGTCGCGCGATCAAATATATTGAGAACCATTCAATCGTCGCATTAGCGAATCACGAATTTCCACGCGACCGAGGCATAGCGCGTAGCCGATCCTTCTCACACCTCTTTGTAATTCGCATTCGCGGTCCCTTTTCGCCAACTCAAGTGCGCGGTGTATCGATTAGGATCTGTCGCGCACCCCCGTTTATGCCTATCTGAGTCGCTAATATCCTTCCTCGTTTCCCGTTCCTTCTTCTTGTTCCGGCTCTCAGTGTATTAACACATTGCCTCGTTATTGGAAATTCGTATCACGCGTTGTTCACATAATCCTTCGAGTTACGAAAGGGATTCTTTTCCGCCGGTCATCGGCAAAATTTGTAGAATATTGTGCAAGCGATATTTTCCATTATTTCAGTTTTATTTGTGAAATACATGCATAGTTCGGCTGCAATTACGACCGCATGTATCACCACGTGCTCCGACATTACAGTGTTCCGGAGACTCTCAGAGACCTCGATCTCGCGAACGGTGCATCGCGCATCCGCGTTCGGCTCTTGATCGCTGCGATCTTTGTAAAAATTATCGCGAGAAGATTTCCGTCGAGTACGCGCTCAGCAATTACGATCAAGCACAAGATGTCCGTCCGTTCTCGTTAAAATTGATTGTCCACCGTTCGTCAAGTGTGTCTAATTCGAAATCGAAACTTTAGTTTTTTTTTGTGAAAGATCGAATAAACCTTTTTTAACCAAACTCTCAGCTGTTAACAATCAACCCCTTCTTCCCTCTATTCCCGATCAAAATTAATTTAATCAGTGCATTCCGCAACATTTCTGGTCCTTCGAGCCGGATCGGGACTGAGGTTTTTGCTTTTTTGACTGTTAACAGCTGTGTTTGTGCTACGCGTTCAGTAGTGAACTCGTTCGATTATCGCGTAGTGGTGCAATAAAAAAAACCTGTGTAAAATGGAATCCTTCGAAGAATTGATGCACGAACAGTCTACAAAAATGAGCTCAGTTATTCGTGCGATATCTAATTTTAAAAAGTTAGGTCAAGCCAAAATGACCTATGCAGTGACGAAAAATCGCATGGAAACATTAAAAGAAAAATTCGAACAGTGCTCAAAATTAGATGCCAAATTACACGCTTCCGCTGACTCCAAGGAGAAGACCACGCACCCCTACTTCTCAGATCACGAATTTGACGAGTGCGAAGAAGCCTACGAGACAGCGTTGGATTATTTCGCAGAGGTTGTACATGAACTCTCCAAATCATCAGCTCATCCTGCAGCTAACGTAAGTCATTTGCACGACTGTCAGTCTCATACGACACTCAACCTACCGAAGGTCACATTGCCGGTCTTCGATGGATCGTTCGACAAATGGGAGAGCTTCCGCGATCGTTTTCAATCGATGATTATAGAAGAAAAAAGCCTGTCTAACGTACAAAAATTGCATCATTTATTCTCGTGTCTAAAAGGCGAAGCGCTCACCGCGATCGAACATTTAACGATTACTTCTGATAATTTTGCTGTAGCGTGGACGATTCTTTCGTCCAATTTTGAAAACGAGCGTCGGCTAATCAATTCGTATATACATCGCTTATTTACATTGCCCAATGTCACGGCGAAATCGGCGACCGAACTTCGAGCTCTACAGAGCAAATTAACTGCCGCAATTGCCGCGTTAAAAAATTTGTCTCGTCCGGTCGAACACTGGAGCGATATTTTTGTTTATATTATCACACAAAGACTCGACAAATCCTTGCGCGAAGCGTGGGAATTGAAGTTAGGAAAAACAACCGTCTATCCTACGTTTGACGAAATTAGCGCGTTCTTGGATTCTCGTATTCGCGCTCTCGACGCCCTTGTACCGATCGCTTCGACACTCGATAAACAAAGCGATAAATCAAACGCGAAATTAAAACAAAGGGCTGTCACTTTGCATACAACAAGCGCCACGAAACTTTCGTGTCCCGTGTGCGAATCGAATCATTTGTTATATCAATGTACCGCGTTCCTCGGAAAAACGCCGACTCAGCGATACGAAATTATTCGTAACGGCAAGCGTTGCCTTAATTGTCTCAGTTCGAAGCATCAAGCAAAGAATGCCCGAGTACCCGCTCGTGTAAAGAATGTCACAAAAGGCATCACACGCTTTTACATTTTTTTGACGCTCCGAAATCAGCTGTTCAAGCGTCATCGTCTCCCGCGTCAACAAATCCCGTCATCTCGACAAGTGACGTTTCCTCGCATATCGTTGCGAAAGCTGTAACAGCGCGTCACATTCTCCTTGCAACTGCTCGCGTTCGCGTGCATTCAATGCACGGTCGATTCCAATGGGCCCGAGCGCTCATCGATCAAGGATCTGTGTCATCCTTTATAACCGAAAATTTAGTGCAGTCATTAAGACTTCCGAAATTAAATACCGCTGTTAGGGTAACAGGTATCGGCGAAACGCAGACAAGCGTTCGACATGCCGTTCATCTAACGATAACTCCCAGCAACGCGGACACTCCGGTTTATAGAACCACCGCGTTAATTTTAAAATCGTTAACTCGATATTTGCCAAACCGTCTCGACATTCCAGAGCAATGGCCGCATTTGAATGGCCTTTCGTTAGCTGATCCCGATCCCGCAGGATCAGATCCAATAGAAATAATTATCGGAGCGGATCTTTTCGGGTCACTCATCCTCGACGGCGTTCGAAAAGGCGCGGTTGACGAACCGATCGCTCAAAATACCGCGCTAGGCTGGATCATATCCGGACCTATAGCGCAACTCAGACCGCTCTCGCAGTCGTCCATTGGAGTACATCATTGCTCTGTTACGGATGATCTCAATCAAACTCTCCGCCGATTTTGGGAAATCGAAGAAATTCCCGCTTCATCAAAAATAACTAGTGAAGAAAAGGCATGCGACGACCATTTTAATTCGACACACTCTCGAAATTCTGAAGGTCGCTATATCGTCAGACTTCCATTTAAACAAGGACCTCCACTCAACATTGGAGAATCTCGACATTCCGCGCTTCAGAGTTACCTTCGCACGGAAAGCCGCATTAAAACAGATTCATCGAAATCGTCGGAATATCATAATTTTTTAAAAGAATATTATGATCTGAGACACATGCAACGCGTCTCAGAAACCGAACAATTAATCGACTCGAATCAAATCGTATATATTCCGCACCATGCCGTATTCCGCGCTAACAGTTTAACAACGCGAATACGTATCGTTTTCAACGCTTCAAGTCGAACCTCAAACGGTACGTCATTAATGATCATTTATATCCGGGCCCTAAACTTCAAAAGGACCTTGCTGCAGTGATTTTGCGTTGGCGCACATTTCGATACGTTTATTCCGCCGACGTGGCAAAAATGTATCGCCAAATTCAAGTCGATCCTCGCGATCGTGATTTCCAGCGCATCTTCTGGCGGCCATCTCCAACACATCAAGTTGAGGAGTATCGTCTCTGTACCGTAACGTACGGCATGACTTCAGCTCCGTACTTAGCTTTGAAGGTCATGAATCAACTCGCCATAGATGAAGGCGCTTCATTTCCATTAGCCACATCCGTTATCGATCGTCAAATGTACGTCGACGACTTTATCTTCGGCGCCGACGACAAGGTTCTCGCTCGTCAAACTCGCGAGCAGATTGTTTCTCTTCTCAAAAGAGGTGGATTCACGCTACGAAAATGGGCAAGCAACGTGTCCGAACTCCTTGACGAGATCGAAGATACCGACCACGGTCTCGCTCAAAGCCGAGATCTAAACGAAGATGAGAGCTTGAAAATTCTCGGTCTTACTTGGCAACCAGATCGCGACATCTTCAAATTTACCATTACGATTACAGGGCCTCCTGGCAACACCAAAAGAAGAATTTTATCCGACATCGCCAAATTCTTTGATCCACTTGGATGGGCAACTCCAGTGATTATTCGCGCCAAAATTTTGATGCAACGACTTTGGATCGCTAAATGTGATTGGGACGAAGTCGCTCCGCCGAATCTGCTTGAAGCCTGGCAGCAGTATCATACTCATCTTAAACAGCTAGAAGAGGTGATGATTCCACGTTGGATTCAACTCGGCCATCACGTACTGCATCTAGAGTTGCATGGATTCTCGGATGCATCTACCAAAGCATACGCTGCAGCGGTGTACATTCGCGTTGTCACGGTGGATGGAATGGTCTCGGTCAATCTTCTTGCCGCAAAATCAAAAGTCGCTCCTGTCAAAGTAATGAGTGTTCCGCGACTCGAGTTATCTGCAGCTCAATTACTCGCACGGCTCATTCATTTCATTCGCGAAGCTCTCGACTTTCGTGAGGTAAATGTTTATTGTTGGACCGATTCCACAATTACTCTTGCCTGGCTGAGCCGACCTTCTACTACATGGAAGACATTTATAGCGAATAGAGTAGCCGATATTCACACGCTACTTCCGGACATTCCATGGCGTCATGTCCCAACAAAGGAAAATCCTGCCGACTGCGCATCGCGCGGGATCTCTCCCGACGACCTTGCCACAAACCTTCAATGGTGGTCAGGTCCCGATTGGCTTATTAAATCTTCCGATTATTGGCCAAAATCTGACTCGGATTTCGATCCCCACGCGCTAAGCGAGCAACGCGCGCAACCACAATCGCTCACTACATCCGTTATCGCATCGTGGGACCTATCACAACGTTATTCGTCATGGCACAAACTCCTTCGAATAACTGCATACATCTATCGATTCGTAACGAATTCCCGCTCTCGACATATCAATCTCAATCTGAAGATACAAAACCCTAGAGCTCCGATCTACCTAAATCCGATTGAAATTAAGTCCGCTGAAATCTTTTGGATTCGTTACATTCAATCAGAATTGTTTCATAGCGAAATATCAGCACTCAGTACGGCAACTCCAATCAAGAAATCTAGCACACTGCTTTCATTAAATCCTTATCTCGATAATGATCAAATAATTCGAGTCGGTGGCAGGCTAAGGAACGCCACCTTACAAAGCGCCGTTCGCAATCCGATTGTCCTACAGGACCATACCTTGGTCAGGATGATCATCATGGACACCCACCGACGAATGCTGCACGCTGGATCTCAATTAACATTAGCTCGGATTCGAGAGAAATTTTGGATTCTGCGAGCACGATCTCTGGTCCGCGCTGTACTCTACAAATGTGTATCATGTACACGAGAAAGGGCTCAGATTCCTACCGAGCTCATGGGCGATCTTCCGAATGTAAGAGTAAATCGCTCAGCTCGAGCATTCGAACATGCCGGTGTCGATTATGCCGGTCCAATTCTTATACGAACCTCTCGTGGACGAGGTCATAAAGCGCATAAAGCCTATATTGCCGTGTTCGTTTGTATGACGACAAAGGCGATCCATCTCGAGCTCGTTAGCGACTACTCGTCAGACGCTTTTCTCGCCACATTAAATCGTTTCGTTTCTCGTCGCGGATATCCTGCATCGATTTATTCGGATAATGGAACCACATTCCAAGGTGCCGATCGCGAACTTAAACTCGCAATCGCGCAGGCTTTAAAAAATTCGGATTTGCAAAATACGCTTTCGACCGACGGAATAAACTGGCATTTCGTGCCTCCTTCCGCTCCCCACTTCGGTGGATTATGGGAAGCTGCCGTACGCAGCGTCAAATACCATTTAAAGCGCTGTATCGGTTCACATACGCTCACATTTGAAGAATTAAATACCGTTCTTTGTCGTATCGAAGCGTGTCTTAACTCGAGACCTATTGGGTCTGTGTCCGAAAATCTCGATGATTATCATGTATTAACACCGGGACACTTCCTCATCGGAGGACCCATCTTAGCTGCGCCACAGCCAAGCGTTCTCGATCTTAACGAAACTCGTCTTTCCCGCTGGCAATTGTTGCAACATATTACAGAAAAATTTTGGAAATCATGGTCAAACGACTACTTATTAACGTTGCAGTAGCGGCCAAAATGGAAAATTGCGCAACGACTTGCGACTGTAGGCCGAATCGTTCTCTTGCGGAACGCACTTGCTCCTCCGTCTCACTGGGAGCTCGGACGTATCATCGAATGTCATCCCGGCAACGACGGACTCGTTCGCGTCGTTACCGTGCGCACCGCGCGTTCACAGTATAAGCGTCCAATTGTAAAATTATGTTTTCTTCCGATCGATATCAATACTTCAAGCGATCAAAGTTTCGCCATGGCGGGCGGCACCGATTCCGATTAGACTTAAGTAATAATGTTCAAAAAATTATTGTACTGCACCATTTGTTGTAAAAAAAAAAAAAACTTTCCATATTCGTATTGTAAGCGTTCTAGTCATAAATTGTAAGCGTTATAGTCTTTACTTCGAATAAAATCATTCGAGACGGGCGGTATGTTCCGGAACCGTTGAAAATAATTGAGAGTCTCCGCGAAAAGTTAAATGTCGCGCGATCAAATATATTGTAGAACCATTCAATCGTCGCATTAGCGAATCAAATTTCCACGCGACTGAGGCATAGCGCGTAGCCGATCCTTCTCACATCTTTGTAATTCGCATTCGCGGTCCCTTTTCGCCAAATAAGTTTTCGGTGTATCGTTTAGGATCTGTCGCGCACCCCCGTTTATGGCATCTGAGTCGAAGTAAGATCCTTCCTCGTTTCCCGTTCCTTCTTCTTGTTCGTGATATTTCGTATTAACACATTGCCTCGTTATTGGAGATTCGTATCACGCGTGGTTCACATAATCCTTCGAGTCACGAAAGTGATTCTTTTCCGCCGGTCATCGGCAAAAATTTGTAGAATATTGGGCAAGCGATATTTTCCATTATTTCAGTTTTATTTGTGAAATACATGCATAGCTCGGCTGCAATTACGACCGCATGTATCACCACGTGCTCCGATATTACAGTGTTCCGGAGACTCTCAGAGACCTCGATTTCGCGAACGGTGCATCGCGCATCCGCGTTCGGCTCTTGATCGCTGCGATCTTTGTAAAAATTATCGCGAGAAGATTTCCGTCGAGTACGCGCGCAGCAATTACGATCAAGCACAAGATGTCCGTCCGTTCTCGTTAAAATTTTTGTCCACCGTTCGCCAAGTGTGTTTAATTCGAACTCGAAACTTTAGTTTTTTTTTGTGAAAGATCGAATAAACCTTTTTTTAACCATATTCTCAGCTGTTAACAATCAACCCCTTCTTCCCTCTATTCCCGATCAAAATTAATTTAATCAGTGCATTCCGCAACATTTCTGGTCCTTCGAGCCGGATCGGGACTGAGGTTTTTTGCCTTTTTTGACTGTTAACAGCTGTGTTGGTGCTACGCGTTCAGTAGCGAACTCGTTCGATTATCGCGTAGTGGTGCAATAAAAAACCTGTGTAAAATGGAATCCTTCGAAGAATTGATGCACGAACAGTCTACAAAAATGAGCTCAGTTATTCGTGCGATATCTAATTTTAAAAAGTTAGGTCAAGCTAAAATGACCTATGCAGTGACGAAAAATCGCATGGAAACATTAAAAGAAAAATTCGAACAGTGCTCAAAATTAGATGCCAAATTACACGCTTCCGCTGACTCCAAGGAGAAGACCACGCACCCCTACTTCTCAGATCACGAATTTGACGAGTGCGAAGAAGCCTACGAGACAGCGTTGGATTATTTCGCAGAGGTTGTACATGAACTCTCCAAATCATCAGTTCATCCTGCAGCTAACGTAAGTCATTTGCACGAATGTCAGTCTCATACGACACTCAACCTACCGAAGGTCACATTGCCGGTCTTCGATGGATCGTTCGACAAATGGGAGAGCTTCCGCGATCGTTTTCAATCGATGATTATAGAAGAAAAAAGCCTGTCTAACGTACAAAAATTGCATCATTTATTCTCGTGTCTAAAAGGCGAAGCGCTCACCGCGATCGAACATTTAACGATTACTTCTGATAATTTTGCTGTAGCATGGACGATTCTTTCGTCCAATTTTGAAAACGAGCGTCGGCTAATCAATTCATATATACATCGCTTATTTACACTGCCCAATGTTACGGCGAAATCGGCGACCGAACTTCGAGCTCTACAGAGCAAATTAACTGCCGCAATTGCCGCGTTAAAAAATTTGTCTCGTCCGGTCGAACACTGGAGCGATATTTTTGTTTATATTATCACACAAAGACTCGACAAATCCTCGCGCGAAGCGTGGGAATTGAAGTTAGGAAAAACGACCGTCTATCCTACGTTTGACGAAATTAGCGCGTTCTTGGATTCTCGTATTCGCGCTCTCGACGCCCTTGTACCGATCGCTTCGACACTCGATAAACAAAGCGATAAATCAAACGCGAAATTAAAACAA